TAGCTTTTTGGTTCTTCCTCACAGCCCTCACAATGTCATCAACTGTTGTTGTTTTCCTTAACAGACCTGTTCTATGTCTGTCGCTCAGTAGAGCACTAGTTCATTTTTTTGCTTAGGACATTCTAAATTGCAGTTTCAGCTACGCCCAACGTTTGTCAAATGTTCTGATCAATTTTTCTTTTCTCAGGTTCGAAATGGCTTGTTTTTCTCCCATAGACAGCTCTCTTGTCGTCATTTTGATTTATCCAACTTTACTTGAAATGCAGTCTTTGCATGTGAAACCCAAGATTATCCATTCAGCCTTTATTTAATATTTAAACAATTCATCTAAAAGCAACATTTCGGCATCAATAAACACCTGTCATTTACATATTCCAATAGTTTTGCCAAAATGCGTGATTTCAAACAAAAGATGAGATGTCCTACGTTACTTAACACATCGAAATGTAAACACCAGGAAATAAAAGCTGAAGCTCTGAAATCTTGTCTCATATTCATCTTTTGATCTTAAACCCAAATGCTTTCAGTGAACAACAAAACAAAGGAACTGGCCTTACCGTTCCAATACTTTTGGTGAAGACTCTCTCTCCCCTCCCTCCTCCTCTCTCTCTCTCTCTCTCTCTCAATATATATATATATATATATATATATATATATATATATATATATATATATATATATATTGGTGAAGACTATATAAATATATATATATATATATATATTCAATCATCCTTTTACAAATTGATTCTGTCAGTTATACAACTGAAGTGGAGATAATTTAAAATTGAATCTATTTTAAAATTTCAAACTGCTAAAGTGGTTATTAAATTGAGAATTTGAAATCCAAGGCATTTAAAACAAACGGTTCCAGTTTGTTTACATCTGCGCAGTATGAAACTGCTTTAATCCTAACTGCGCAGATAGATGCTGTCACTATTCAGCTAATAGTTTCCAGTAAACATCTTACACAACATGGAGTGGTGAACAATGTAAGAATCGGTGTATTTTTTTGTTAAAAATACATTAAGTTACTAAATAATAAAAATTCAATTTATAAATTCGTTGGTGGTTGATGCAGATCAAAAAACTGCATTAACTTTTATATTTACTTATTTTTTACTTATTTTTTCTTAAGTGCCTCGATATCTAGATTTACTGCATGCATAAAAATGAAGACGGCAAATGACAGAGTGTCCACCAGACGTTATGTTAAGTAAGCCATTCTAACGAGAGCAAATATTCAAGCTGCGTCAAACTTTACAAATACATAAGCAAAGCAATAAGCATGTAGCATGATAATGAAAATAATTCATTCTGCAGAAGACATATTTATTAACACATATATTCTTATTCCTTACCAATGTACTTAATAATAATATTATTCCAAAATATATTGAGATAAAAAAAGCTAGCTGGCAAATACTTGACAATATATATATATTCTTGTTATCCACATATAAATTACACTCCTTACTTCCACTATTTCTAAACATCACGGCCATGTCCCGGCATGCCACGCACATTGTAGCGATAGGGATACAGGAAGCGCTGATTTCCCTTTGGAGTCACATGAGTCACTGGACGGCCGCTTAATGACGTCACTGTATACAGCGACGAAAGTGCCGGTTAATATTCAGTTCGTTTTACAGCAGCCATATTGTTTCGTTAGATCGCCGCCCAGCTTCATCGCCAGGGCATCGGCTAAGTCTGTCTCCCCTGCAACATAAAACCATGGTGGCGTTTCCCTCTTGAAATATATCTTACATAAGGAATGAAACTCCATCTCGCAGTTCTAAATTTGGAAAAACCCAAGGCTGGCTGTTTCCCATTGATAGAATGTCTTTGCCTGGCCATAGATGTTTGAATCTGAAGTCTTAAACATGGCTTCTCCAGACACAGCAATATCTCCATATTATATGTAGAATCCATCCTTTTTCTTTCTCTTTACCCTCTGCTTTGCTGTATATGTGATATTTTATTCTTTACGTAGGACACATGGGTATATATGTATATAAAAAATGATAAAAAGAGATAGAACAAAATATATATATATATATATATATATATATATATATATATATATATATATATATATATATATGCATGTTTTATTAAAAAAACAACAGACAAGTTACTATTTTCTTGTGTTAAGCTTTTTCATTTATGTTTTTTTTCTTGTGTTCTGACAAGAGATGATTCGATTTTTTCTTTTCTGGACAATTTTAATGAAACATGCATCAAGGAAGGTATTGCATTATTTTGTCCTAAATATACAACTATATATATATATATATATATATATATATATATATATATGTTGCAATGTCAATTGCATTCTACAGTCCTCCGCATTACTCTTCTTTTGCTCTAGTTTCTTAGTAATGTTTGTGTTTTCTAAATCTTCCACACACGGTTATATATATATATGTTGCAATGTCCGAGGAGTTTTTAGTTTCTTAGGGTGAAAACGACTATAATCTGAAAAAAATGCATATTACTGCCATAGCTGGGCTTGTCCGACCTAGTCTTCACTCTACAGCTTTGTATATGTTCAAATCGTATTACGCGGCCTTGTAATTGATGAATTATTTTCCAATCTGCATCCCCTCTCGTACAGATAAAAAAAATATTACTAGTCTTTAGATACTCTATCGCTATTTCTATGGCAAATGTTCAGACCAGCTACATTCTTTTGATTTTACCGACGCAGCTAGGGCACGCCATCTCGCGTAAAAAAGGGTCAACTCATCCGTCATTTCCATGGGAATGACTGCGTAATTTGTGTGCTCTCCTTATTTTAAATATAAGAAGGCACCTGGCACTGTCGGTTCCAACACTGCGGTAGCATATCCCCCATTGCACTAAGAGAGATTAGTACGGTGTACTATTGAATCCAGCGTGACAGTTGTCGGGGAATTGCACTATTATTGTCCTTGGTCCGGAAAATAACAGTAACAATGTACTCAGGTTTCACGGGCGATTTCATTTTCCAGTCTTTTTTCACTGCTCTTTTAACTGTCATAGCTGACTCTTTCACGTGCCAAACGTCTCATGGTTTTTGTTGGTTCTTTTCGAATTGATCTCTTTAGTTCCAGGTCCGACCGCCAGATCTATTTTGCCTTTCTACTTATCCCTCTTTTTGAAACTTATTCACCGTTCTCTTGATGGTTCAATGGACTTTGAAAATGGAAGCTTAGTCTATGTTGGTATCATTACTAAAGGCTTTAACGATCTTTTTCCTTTCAGCGTTGTTGAATTTGGAAGGCGTAATGGGACTAACTCAAAACGATTTTAACCTGTTCTTTTTCTAGCTGAATAACTCAAAGAGTTATTCAGTGATTCTTACGATAAATGGTGTCAAAATGGCTAAAGGTCTTATCTGAAAATCCGGAAAAAAGAAACGCAATTAGTTTACTATTCTTTTTGTTTTTTTTTTAAATATTAAACATTTTGTGGGATGGGCAATTATCGCTTTGAACAATGTTGCTGTGCCATCCTATATATATATATATATACCATCTATACTGTGGCTAGAAAGAATCTCAGCTTGAAGATGTCTGATAGATCAGATTTCCAGATTATATCCATTTTATTCAAGACGGTCCATGTTTCAGCTGTAGAAATTGTCTCGCTTTCTAGGTATGGAAATGATTCAATTAGATTTTGTTGGCTCACCAGAGACAGATTGTATTTGAAACTTGCTGACTGAAGCCGATGGATTTAATTTTAACGACATATACATTGAGTGCTAATACATGATGCCACTGTTTGGATATTAATGAAAAACGTGGAGTCTAAGGTTTTATGGAAACTACACTCAGATTATGGGAGCTAGACTTTACATTTCTTGGAGACAGAATCCAATAAAATCAAACATTTATGAATTTATCACTGATATTACTAGAATCTTAAGCAAACGGAGAATGTGCTTTTCAGGAAACTGCTGGCGAGCAAAACAAAAATAGCAAGTGGACACCTAAAGAAGAAATACAGATTGGTCAAACGGCAACCACCTACAGCTCTGGCATGACAGAGAATGGCTTCCTAATGACCTTCCGACTGTGATAGGCCCATGAATGGCTAGCTCGAGCGAACAATATATATATATATATATATATATATATATATATATATATATATATGTTATAAATCATATTGGGTATGTTTGTAGTGATTTTAAGACATATTTATGTTATAATTCTCGAATAAATTATATTTGCTCTACTCTGTATTGATCACTCTTTTATGAAAAGTATTTTTGGTTACTAGAATTTATTCGGTATACAGGAATTCTGTACCCGACAGCGTGCTCAGCAATAAGTTAGTTAAAATTAAGCTCTATCAGGGCATGATAAAATTCGTATCAATATATATATATATATATATATATATATATATATATATATATATATATATATATATATAAATATATATATATATATATAGATATATAAATATATTATATATACATATTAATACGAATTTTACCATGCCCTGATCATGTTATATATATATACACACACACACACACACACACATATATATATATATATATATATATATATATATATATATATATATATATATATATATATATATATATATATATATATATATATATATATATATATATATAATGTGGTAAAATGATGATATGATAAATGATATATTTATATACATATATATGTCTGTCTGTGTCTGTCCGTGTTTTGCATATTTCATGACATTAGACGTTATAGCGTGCGGACATATCAGTTTCAGTAATCATTAATTTCCTTTAACAAGTGTTAATCTATGTCTACTGGTTTGTGCAATCGAAATTCTTAAGAAAGAAAAGTCACATTCCGACTGACTTTGAACATACTTTCGCTTGTATGAGGAAGCCAACGTATAGCTGAGACATGGCAACTACAGAAGACTTGCGCAGTTAAGCAGTGTTCAGTTTACCTACATAAGGAATGTGCATGTCTTGTTTAGATTTCTCAGAATAGATAAGTAGATTATGAAACGGGTGTGATAGATACATGCGAAAAGTATGTTATAGATAGATAGATGTCAAAGAATGTGATACATAGATAGATAGTTAGATACCAAAATAATGATAGATAGATAGATAGATAGATAGATAGATGCGAAAATGGTGTGATAGATATTAAATCAATATCATAGATAGATAGCGAGAGAGATAACAAAAGAATGTGATAGTTAGATACAAAAATAGTGTGGCAGATAGATGGATAGATATGAATAGAATTAGATAGATAGATAGATACCAAAAGTGTCTTATAGATAAACCTCAAAAGAATGCGATACATAAATAAATAGTTAGATATTAAAAGAATGTGATAGATAGATGCGAAAATTGTGTGATAGATACTAAAGCAATAACATAGATAGATAGATAGATAGATAGATAGATAGATAGATACCAAAAGTGTCTTATAGATAAACCTCAAAAGAATGCGATACATAAATAAATAGTTAGATATTAAAAGAATGTGATAGATAGATGCGAAAATTGTGTGATAGATACTAAAGCAATAACATAGTGTGATAGATAGATAGATAGATAGATAGATAGATAGATACCAAAAGTGTCTTATAGATAAACCTCAAAAGAATGCGATACATAAATAAATAGTTAGATATTAAAAGAATGTGATAGATAGATGCGAAAATTGTGTGATAGATACTAAAGCAATAACATAGTGTGATAGATAGATAGATAGATAGATAGATAGATAGATAGATAGATAGATAGATAGATAGAAATAACAAAAGTATTTGATAGATAGATACAAAAATAGTGTGGCAGATAGATAGATAGATAGATAGATAGATAGATAGATAGATGTAAAAGAAATATACTGAGATTTGTCTCATTAAATAAATATATTTTGTTCATAGAAAACACCTCGAAAAGCAGCGTCTCTTAAAAATATAATAAGACTTAGAAATCTTATGGATACAATCTCAGTTTAACTACATCAATGTTTAACAATTTAAATAACGATGAGAAATGTGTAATCATTTTGAGCTTTTACTCATATTCAAACTCATCGCCTTTATGCTGAAAAACAGTCGCAATGATAACCCAGTTTTCTCGGTGTTTCATTTTGTGATACGTTTGGGATTTGGACGCATTCTATCTCAATGTCAGCATTTATCTCATCGATTGTTCGCAGTTATCTGCGATAAAATCATCTTTGAGTTGTCCCCATAAGGAATCATCCATCGGTGTGAGATCTGCTGAATAAACTGGGTACTGATGTGTTCCTTCCGCTGCAAATTGATCTCCAATGCGAGCAATGGTGTGTCGCGTTGGTGGATCTATTTGAAAGTCTTTGAAAATAGTCTTTTCACTTGAGATGGCTTCTCCAGTAGCACTTTTAGGATGAATCTTCTCTTTTCAAATTTTTATTCACGTTTCTGCAATTATTTTTGATCGATTGCACATTAACAAAGTAGTTATTGTTATGTAGGGTGTAAAAGTCTGTACACATTTTTTTTAAGATACCTTGTAAGATTCGCCTGAACTCCTTCATGCATCAATAAATACGGGCACGAAAAAATAAGGAAAGAAAGGGAGACAGAAAGAAAGAACGAAGAAATAAAGCTAAAAGAAAGAAAAATGAAAGGAAAAAACGAATCAAGAAAAATAAATGTAGAAAGAGACAGGCAAAAAGAAGATGAGAAAGAAAAAAAGAAAGAAAGAAAAGAAAAGAAAAGAAAGAAAGAAAGGAAGAAAGAATGAATATATGAATGATACATAAAAGGCATGAGTAAATAAAAATAAAGAAAAAACTGAATGGAGAAAGAAAGGAATAAAATAAAGGTGGAACGAGAGATAGAAAGAACGAAAGAAAGAAAAATACATGCAAGGAGGAAACGTAAAAAAGAAATTAAGGAAAAAAGAAATAATGGAAAAAAATGGAAAACAAAGAAAAAAATCAGAAAGAGTTACAGAAAAAAAGACCGAAGAAAGAAAAAACAGAAAAAAAACGACAAAAGAAAAAAGTGAATAACGAACATATAAAGACGGACTGACAGGAAGAAAGAAGGGAAAAACAAAGATAAAAGAAAGAAAGAAAGAAAGAAACAAACAAACAAACAAAGATAAAAGAAAGAAAGAAAGAAAGATAGATAAAAGAAAGAAAGAAACAAACAAACAAACATCCAAACAAAGGAAAAACGTGATAATAAAGAAAAATAAATGTAGAAAGACAGATATACGGAGAGAAGTTGAGAAAGAAAAAAGAAGGAAAGGTACAAGAATGACAAAAGAAAAGATAGAAAGGAAAATAGAAAGAAAAGAAAAAGAAGACTGAATCAAGAAAGAAAGAAAGAAAGAAGATAAAGGCAGAACGTTAGATGGAAAGAAAAAGAAGTACAAAATCAAGAAATAAAACAAAAAAGAAATAAAGGAAAAATGATTTAAGAAAGAAAGAAAAATAAAGACCTAAAAGATACAGAAAGAAAAATGAAGAAAGGAAAACAGAGAAAAAAAGACAAAGGACATAAAGAAAACGAAAAGGGAAGAAAGAAAGAAAGAAAGAAAGAAAGAAAGAAAGAAAGAAAGAAAGAAAGAAAGAATAAAAGAAAATAGGAAGAAAAGAAAAAACAGAATCAAGACTGAAAGAAAAGCAAATTTAGAAAGACAGAAGGAAGGAAAGAAAAGGAAAAAAAGATATAAAAGAAAACATGAATAAATAAATAAATAAATATAAAAGCAGAAAGAGATAGAGAAAAAAAGAACGAAGAAAAAAAAGACATGAAATAAGGAAAGTAAAAATAAATAAAGACAGAAAAAACGAAACGATACAAAGAAAACAAAGAACGGAAGGAAGAAAAAATATAAAACAAAGAATGAACGAATAAATAAATATCGAACAGATATATATATATAATATATATATATATATATATATATATATATATATATATATATATATATATATATATATATGCAGAGAGACCGATATAGAATTGTAAACAGTTCGATAGATAGAGAAAAGAGAGTCAGGAAAATTTCATATTTATTTATCACCATTAATTAAAAAAATAATGAAAACAAATATTCCAGGCAACATTCTCTTTGTAAACAAAATAAACGGGAAAATAATCAACAAAGAAAAAATCTATCAGAAAAGAAAAAAAAACGCATTTGAAGCCACAAGCATCGGCAAATTTTACGAATAAACAAACACGACTTTCGTTTAAACAATCGGAATCATTTACCGTTTACTTGCTCAATGTAAATATTAATTTTTCCTGAAGAGAAAAGGAGTTTCTTTTTTAAATATCGATATGACAGACAAGTAAACATATCTAAGTTTGAGCAAATTTATATTTTGAATGATGAGAGAATAAATATAAGAAAATGCCATTTTCAAATTAACTCATATATTAAAATAGAAGCCTAAAAACATACGCCTATTTTTAAAACAATCCTACATATATAGAAATATTTGAACTGGTATTTTAGCCGGAATTATTTCTTACTTATTCTAACTCGTGGAAATTTCACTGTTTTCCTATTTTAATATTCTAATGAATCTTAATTCTTCTGTTAATGTTTGAGTAAGTTCATAACGAGGTCTACGGTAATAAAATATCAGTATAAATTCCCCTATCGCGTCGTTAAATATTTTAGGTTAACAATTTTAACAAGATATTGCAAGGACTATGATAAATATAAATGCTGGTCTTTATTTTAAGAAGTGAGTACAAATGAAAAGATTTGAAATTGACAAGTTTTTTTCACTTCACAGAAATAGCCGTTAAATTCCCCTTTTTCCCTTCTTTCATTCTTTCAATTTCTCACTGAAACGAAGTCGTATCTTCCCTTCTTCCAACGCGATCAAAACGTAATAATCTATTAATTAGGCGATATTAGGAGAGTATACCTGTCGTGCGAATTAACGAAGAAAGGGACAAGCAAATTTATAGTAGGTTTATTATTATTATTATTATTATTATTATTATTATTGTTATTATTATTATCTTATCTCCTTTCGTTTCTTTCCGGGTTCCGACAAGGTCAGAAATGGCATCATGAAATTTTCCACAGGGCAATTTTGAAAAAAAAATCATATAAATTTTACATAGATAAAGCCATTTATAAGGTGTAGGCTGTACTCTAGGGAACAATATTTTGTATTTTTTAATCGATTCAGTGATTCTATTGGAATCTTTTCCAATCAACCCATGGGTTCCAACTACCACTGAAATTGCTGATGTTCTCATGTGCTACAATTTTTGAGATTTCGATTTCAAGGTGTGGGCTTGGAAACATTTTTCTTGTTCAAGGCTTCAAGGTTCCAGATTTCAAGATCTTTGTATTTTGATAGTTTTTTTGAAGATCTTCAATGATACATTACAGTCTGCAGGGACTGCCATGTCAATAAGGAGGCACATTTTGTCTTTGCGTTCTCTAATCACGATATCAGGGCGATTAGCTTTGATTGTTCTCTCTGTGTGTATTGTAAAGACCCATAAAATTGTTACAGGTCCTATCTCCGTAACCGAGTCTGGGTGATGTTGATATCAATTTCTTGCAGTTATTATTATTATTATTATTATTTCCTTTGATTTCCGGTGTATATTCATTTCTTTCTGGGTCCCGACCAGAGACCTAAGGTCAGAAATGGCATCATGACATTTTCCACTGATTAGTTTTGAAAAAATAAAAAAACAAATCGCACATATTTTACATAGACAAAGCCCTTCGTAAGGTGCGATCTGTACTTGTGAGTGCAATTTTTTGTATCTTCCCAATGCACAGGCTACCAGGGATTCCTTCAATGAGGCTACTGGAATCTTTTCCAATCATTCCTAGGGCTCCAACTACAACTGGAATTGTTAATGTCCTCATGTGCCACATTTTTGAGATTTAGATTTCATGGTCCTTGTATTTTGACAGCTTTTTGAATATCTTCAAAGATACATTGCAGTCAGCAGGGACTGCCATATCAATAAAGAGGCACCGTTTTTGTTTGTGGTCTTTAATAACAATTTATTATTATTATTATTATTATTATTATTATTATTACTTGTGTATGCTATGTTTCCTGCCTTCTATCCTGTAGAGCCGGGTCCAAACAGTGGTCCGTAGGCCCTATAGGATAATTGCCATAGCACTTTCCTTCGTATATGGGATGTTCCTAGTAGGGCAACATGTATTTTGAGCGAGAATATTAATCCTAAAGCAGCTACTGGAGAAGATATCTTACGTGAAATGACGATTTCGAAAGACTGTCAAACAGATCCACTAACGCGGCGCACCATTGCTCGCATTGGAGATCAGTTTTGAGCGGACGGAACAGATCAGTACACATTTCATTCACCAGAACACAACAATGGATGTTTCCTTATGGAGACAACAAAAAGATGATTCTATTGCACTAAACTGGTAAAAATTGATGAAATGACTGCGATTATTATTATTATTATTATTATTATTACTGCTACTACTGCTAGTAGTAGTGTACTCGTGCCGGCAAAACTGACGTCAAGAAGGAATGTATTATAAGTAATATGTATTGTAGATAATTTTCGTTTAATCCAAGTTCAATTTTATAATTTAAACTAGTTCGTTGTTAACATTAATAATTGAACAGTGTACCATTTATAAATAACTAAGAAAATATATCCGTATGTTATCCTCATGAATGTTACATATTTACAACCAAAAGTATGTTTATTGCAAAAGTTCCCAGTGCACAATATTTTTTTCGTAAACTTTGAAAGGTCTGAGTAATCCTTGACAGTCCGTAGATTCAATCTGTAATTTCAGAGTCTGTTTATTTCTCGTTCCACTAAGAGCAACGTAACATCAGATATGTTTTTTAATTTATTTTTTCTCAAGCTATTACGAAATTCCACAAGATATGCTCCTAATCATAACATACAAATGTATTAAAACTAATTATTTAATTGTACAAAGTTTTTAGTTGCTATCATAAATAATATAAATGAAGGATGAAGTGTGAATAAAAAAAAATCTCTTTCGATAACGAATGAATTATTACAAGAATTGTCCACATCTCTTTCTTTAATTATAATTTTTAAAGTTTAAAATGAATTCCTAAAAATGAACAAAGCATTCTTCAAGATATATGTGGCGTATTATATATAGGAGCCCTCTTCAAGTGATATCAGTATGCGGCAACGGGACCAAGTTAGCACGGCACCGTTAATGGTTATTTTGCACACTACACCTCAATTGTTACACTAATATATATATATATATATATATATATATATATATATATATATATATATATATATATATATATATATATATATATGTGTATGTATGTATCAAATATGTGATGGAGTTCAATTTATATTTCAATGAATCATTCATACAAAAAGTAGATTAGTAAAGTTAATGATATAAAATGGCGAAATCCCTTCGCAAACAAAATTTTAAAGATGCATTAACCTACTAATCACTCGATGAATGTTATGATCCTTGTTTTTAAAAATGATAAGCTGTATAAGGTCTTTCTTTAATATGCAAGTACTTTCAACTGTACATTAAGTCATAATAATAAAAATATTTTCCATGCTTGAAGATGACTGAATGTACAGTTGAAAGTTTTTGCGTATTAAAGAATGACCTTATACAGCTTATATTAGATGGTGTTATTTTTACACGTATATATCTATTTTAATGTCCTTTCTTTACCTATTGTTTATTTCTCTATTCTATTAGACCATTTTTATCAATGTATATTGGCCCGTATAAGTCATATTTTAATATGTGGTTAGAATTCGTTTAATAACACCTTCAATCTTGAATATTTCTTGAGTGTTTATCAGAGTGTCTATGTCAATGTATGTGGGTATATGTACGTAACTTTTTTGGTGTCTGTGGATAGTAAAATGCATGCACATTTCATTGTGTATGCGTGTGGTTTAATTTTTTTTTTTTTTGTAAAAGGTCGTGCAAATATTTCTTGTCTCGTCACTTTTGTGCCTGTGTATATATCTAAATATGTCTGCGTGCTTATGTATTATAATCTGATTGGGCTTGTATTGTCTTTCGCAAGATGTCATAATCCCATGTCTACACATGTATCCATCAATGTTGTCATTAAGTTAAGGGCAGTTGATCTTAACATTTATTCCAACGTAATTTCAATAGAAACAAAATGAATAGAATAACATATGCATTTTTCTTTTTTCTTCAATAATTTTAAAATTTTAAACTTAATATAGATTAAGTTTACATTTTTGAAATGGGTAATTTTTAATTTTAATTTGAAATTTTATCGTACAACTTAATACTTATTAGAATAAATTCTATTTTAGTATAAACCCAACTTTAAAGCATTTAATAATTTTTATAACCTTACTTCGTTGTCAAGTTTTTTGAATTCTCGTATACTTGTATTTTGATTGGTCATTTTAGCTCATGTAACAGCGTTACCCCTTACGAGGAGTGGTTAATTAATTTGAATCTTTTAAAACCTTTATTCTACAATCTACATTCAACATTATCACTTGATAAGACACCAGAGGTGTTGAAACAAAATGGCTATTTTTGTAGTGATTTTATAACATATTTATGTTATAATTTTAAAAATAATTATATTCGCTCTACTATTTATTGAGCGCTCTTTTAAGAATAGTAATTGTTGGTCATTGGAATTTATTCCATATACATCAGTCATATATATATATATATATATATATATATATGGATTATTATTATTATTATTTGATGGTGCAACCCACCAACAAAGAGGAGTACAAATATACGAAGCATGGGGCAAGTACAATTAAAATTAATTATTATAAACGATATTTTTAATGGGTGCACGTCTTGAAGTTGAGTCCCCTGTCGTTTTGTTTCATTTTCTTAAACTGTGACATTAATAATAACCTGTCCAGATTGTGAAGTCTTACTAAAGAAAAAACGTTTCCCTCCCACCACCAGCAAAATCGAACATATATCCATTTCTTCCTTCAACGGAGAAAACTCATTTTTAACCAAAGCGCTACGAGTCTGGACTCAGAGCCAGTCAGACAGTCTGGTTTGAA